CGTCCCCTCTTGCGTTACAGATATTAACGAGTGTCTGGGGCTGATCCCACCAGACTGCGGACCCCACGCTAAGTGCACCAATGTGGCTGGGAGTTACTACTGCACCTGCATGTATGGCTACGAGTCCAGCTCTGGGAAAGCCAACTTCATGTACGCGAGAGAGAACACCTGCCAGGGTGAGCTCTCCCCTGGCCCCACCTGCTGAGACCCCCCCACACACACACAAATGCTCGTTCCCAGGGCCGGCTCTGGCTTTTTGGCCGCCCCAAGCAAAAAAAAAAAAAAAACGGGGCGGCGGCCGGATCCAGGGTGCAGGGGGACTCCCTGTGCTGCAGATGTGCTCTGGGGAGGAAGGGAGGGAGCAGGGGGAGAGAGAGAAGGGGGCTGGTGCCTGGAGCCGGTCCTGCTTGTTCCAGGCCTGGCGCTGCACTGAGGCTGCTGCCGGATTTGGCAGTGGCCTGAAGCTGTGATGAGACGTGACCCTGGCCTGCTCCCGCAGAGCATGGGGCTGGACTCACCCCTGTGCCCAGCGCTTGGACAGGGAATAAACCCTCAGGGTTAGAAACAGACCCACAGAGCAAACTCCTTGTGCTGCAGAGATGCGCTGGGGAGAGGGGAGGGGACCCTCACTGGCCCCAGCACGCAGCATCTGAGCTGCTAGTGCCCTGCTGAGCCTGGAAAGTGGCCCTGGAAATGCCTCTGGGAATTGGGCTAAAGCGTTCTTGAATTCACCCCCATCCCCTATGGCTTGAGCTTCCGCCGGGGGGGGCAGGCAGCCATGCTCTGCTCTGGCCTCTAGGGCAGGGGTGGCCAACCTGAGCCTGAGAAGGAGCCAGAAATTACCAATGTACATTGCCAAAGAGCCCCAGTAACACATCAGCAGCCCCCCATCAGTTTCCCCACCCCACTCCCAGCTCCTCCCACCCACTGACAGCCCCGCCCATCAGCACCTCCCCCTTCCTTCCCACATCTCCCAATCAGCTGTTTCGTGGCGTGCAGGAGGCTCGGGCGGGGGGAGGAGTGAGGGCACTGCAGGCTCAGGGGAGGGGGCGGGAAGGGGTGGAGTGGGGGCAGGGCCTGTGGCAGAGCCAGGGGTTGAGCAGTGAGCATCCCCAGCACACTGGAAAGTTGGCGCCTGTAGCTCCAGCCCTGGAGTCGGTGCCTGTACAAGGAGCCGCATCTTAACTTCTGAAGAGCCGCATGTGGCTCCGGAGGCACAGGTTGGTCACCCCTGCTCTAGAGGTGCAGCTGCTAGTTGGAGGGACCCTCCCAGTGCCCCAAGTTTCCTGTGTGGGCAGCGGTGTCAGGGGACATGTGCTGTGACTGGCATTGCCAGCCCAGCCCCAGGCTTCCCTGAGGCACCCCGAGTTCCAGCAGTCTGGGGTGGGGACATGGGGTTGGCGTTCGTTGGCTCCATGTGCTGTCCTGGCTCTGGGCGGGTCGCCGGCCCGGCAGACCTCCATCGAAGTGTCCAGATTGCCCAAAGTCAGATCAGTGGCCAAGGCACTGGGCCGGGTTTATCGCCAATGCAGCCCGGTGCCAGCGCCCATAGATGCCACAGGGACACTGCCACACGTCTGCCTCTGACAATGGACCATGAGAGTTACAGACTGAGACAAACCATCCGGGATAAACAACCTACATCCCAGCTTGCGTGTTTCACAACATGCTTGTTACTCCCCTCCCTCCCCGTGCCCTTCTCCTGCTGCTTCAGACAAAACATTCCCCACCTGTCAAACCGTCTTATCATGTGCTAGGCAGGGGAATGTGGTTACACAGTCACTGTGTTGTAGCAATGCTGGCAATACCGGTGCTGAGTTCATGCATCGGACAGTGAACTTGCAGACAAGCCTCTGCTTTGTGACAGGGTGTGACTGGTGCCTGGGGGGGCCCCACTGAGATTGCTCCATCCGGGCAAACTGCAGAGTGGGGCCAACAATCCCCCAAACTGCTCGTTAGTTCTAATACTTAGATTCACCAAGCCAGCAACAAACCAGCTGCTCCAATACCGTGCTGTTACCCAGAAGCCAGAAACACAGCTCCCGGCTCCTTTTCTAGTGTGGCTTTAAAGGCAGAATTTGGGTCATTTAGCCTGTGTCAGGGTTCCTTCCCCACTCTGAACTCTAGAGTACAGATGTGGGACCCGCATGAAAGCCCCCTAAGCTAATTTCTACCAGCTTAGGTTAAAACCTGATACGCTGCCACCACAAAGTGATTTAACAAGAAACAGGGAAAGGACCACTTGGAGTTCCTCTTCCCCCAAAATATCCCCCCAAGCCCTTACACCCCCTTTCCTGGGGAGGCTTGAGAATAATATCCTAACCAATTGGTTACAAAGTGATCAAAGACCCAAACCCCTGGGTCTTTGGACAATGGAAAAATCAGTCAGGTTCTTAAAAGAGGGATTTTATTAAAAAGAAAAGGTAAAAATCATCTGTAAAATCAGGATGGAAAATAACTTTACAGGGTAATCAGATTCAAAGAGCCCAGAGGAACCCCTCTAGCCTTAGTTTGAAGTTACAACAAAGTAGAGATAAACCTCCCTCTTGCAAAGCGAAAAATCACAAGTTGAGAAAACAAAGATAAACTAACATGCCTTGCCTGGCTGTTACTTACAAGTTTGAAATATGAGAGACTTGTTCAGAAAGATTTGGAGAGCATGGATTGATGTCTGGTCCCTCTTAGTCCCAAGAGCGAA